TCTATCTATCTATCTATCTATCTATCTATCTATCTATCTATCTATCTGAGATCTATTTCTCTCTCATTTATCCTACCATCCACCAGTTTTTCTATTATTTATCATCTGTCCATATCAAGGGTCTTTAAACTTGGACACTTTAAAACTTGTGGACTTCAACTCCCAGAATTCCTCCTCCAGTCATGTTAGCTCCAGGAATTCTGGGAGTTGAAGTCCACAAGTTTTAAAGTGGCCAAGTTTGAAGACCCTTAATCTATATCATCTGTTTCTATGTCAATCTGTCTCTATGATCCATCTATACCTATTTCTATTATTTCTCTATCATTTATCATCTACCATCCATCCATCATTTATCTCTCTTTTATTTTTCTATCATGTTTGTCTACCTATCTACCTCTGTCTACCTACCTACCTACCTACCTGTTTGTGTCCGTCTGTCTACCTACCTGTCTATCTCCTATCTACCTGTCTGTCTATCTACCTACCTGTCTACCTACCTGTCTATCTACCTGTCTGTCTACCTATCTACCTACCCATCATCTGCCTATATTCATCCACCCATTCCTAAATGAAATAGGCAGCTATATAAATTTGATGAATCCATCCATCCATCCTCTTACCTATATCTATTAAATGTATTCCTGGCCATTGTGCTCGAGTGACTTTGGGCAGCTTGCCATCATAACACAATATTACAAAAGACGTAAACAGTAACATAATCCATTAAAGTAAAGAAATAGCCATGATGGTGCGGAGCAGCCAATAGAGTGGAAGTGGGATCTTTGCAATTACAGACAATTGTGATTGCACGGAGATTCCATGGAAGCTTCTCCCAGGTAGTAACTAGGCCCCACCCATCTTAACCATCAAGCCCACCTTATGCCAGGTGTTCTTATCTGCTGATATGTCCATCGCTGAGCTCTGTTTAATGCGATCGTTGTTGGTGAAAGAGAGGCCAGGCTGTCTAGAAGAAATTCACCGCCCCATCCCTTCCTTTGTCTTTCAATAACATTGTACTCTTTTTTTTTTTTTGTCCTCAACAACAATATTCTGAGTGAAGTTAAATGAAAGCGCTTAAGGGGTTGCCGAAAAACTCTCTTGTAGCTGGGGATGAAATCTGTTTAACATTCTATCCTGGGCTCTCTGCTAGATTGGAGATGAAGGAAGAAATACAGTTCAAAAGCTACGATCGCAGGCATGGGGAAATGGCGAAGTTGAGGAAGAAAGCTCAGGAAGAGGAACACCAACGTCTTATGGCCTTGAACGATGCAGAAAACAAGCGTTTACTCGAGCGAAGGTAAAATCAGTGCACGCCTGCCTCATTCCGTTGTGTTGGACCCTGGGGGGTGTGTGTGTGTGTGTGAGACCGCGGGGCGTGATCAGCTCGATGTCACTCAAGGCGCCGTTTTCGACTGTGACGGCGTCCTGCAGCCCTCAGCCAGCATAAATGGAGCTCAAGAGGGCCGTGCGCAGCGTCCCCAAGTCCTGCTTTTGCTGGCAGAGTCACCACGGGCCAGATCTAAGCACTCCACAGGCCAGATCACTTCATCCAGGCGTTGAACACCCCTGGATGAAGGTGTCTTCATTCCGGTTGCCATGATACAAAAATCAATGTTGAGACTCCGGAAAGAGTGCAGAGAAGAGCAACAAGGAGGATTAGGGAACTGGAGGCCAAAACATACCAAGAAGGGTTGCTAGACTTGGGTATGCCTGGTTTAAGGAGAAGAAGGACCAGGGGTGACATGATAGCAGTCTTCCAATATTTGAGGGGCTGCCCCAAAGAAGAGGGGGTCAAGGGTTGGAAGCTAACCAAGGAGAGAAGGAAGTTAGAACTTAGGAGGAAATTCCTAACAGTGAGAAAAGTCTATGGAGGTTCCCAGCCATCCAGGACCCAGTTGTCCCAAAGATGGTTTTTTTCAGGAGATAATTGGACTTCCTGGTTTTGCTTTGAAGAGGTTTCTCTTCTCATCCGAGAAGCTTCTTCAGCTCTGACTAGATGGTGGGGAATGGAAGGATTTCTTCTCCTTGCAGACACAGCTGGTCATTTGCCTCCTTTTAGAGATACGTTGAGGCCACTTGGAGGTTTATTTGGGTCCTCAGGGTCATCTGAGTAGCGCAAATGGGTGTGGAGCCTCCTTGGAACTGTTGAAAGGAGGCTGTTGTAAACTGGGGGTAGACGGTGTTGTATCCCTCTCCCTGTCTGTTCAATTGGGACATAGGTGGCCTCTTTGAGCCCCTCTTTCCAACCAGCGGTCCCCTCTGTCCCAAAATGTGGACTTTGCCATCTTCAAAAGGGCAGCCTGGGTCTTTTAGATGGACTCCTGAATCTTGTCTTGACGGGTTGGTTCTAGGTTGTGTGCCATGCTCTTCAAAGAAAGTCCAGTTATGTGTTAGACTGACAGTGAGAACGATCAATCGATGGAACACTTTGCCTTCCAGTACGGTGGATGCTCCGTCCCTGGAGGTTCTCAAAACTAGATTGGGCCACCATTTGACTGGGATGATATATGGACTCCCTACCTTGGGCAGGGGGTTGGACTAGAAGACCTCTAAGGTCCCTTCCGGTCCTAATAATCTCTGATTCTGGCTTTTGATGAGAAAAGGAGAGGAATAGATAGATAGACAGACAGACAGACAGACAGACAGACAGACAGACAGACAGACAGACAGATATGGATGGATGGATGGATGGATGGATGGATGGATGGATGGATGGATGGATATAGAGATAGATATAGAAATGGATGGATGGATAGATAGATATAGATAGATAGATAGATAGATAGATAGATAGATAGATAGATAGATAGATAGATAGATATAGAGATAGATAGATATAGAAATGGATGGATGGATGGATGGATGGATGGATGGATAGATAGATATGGATGGATGGATGGATGGATGGATGGATAGATGATAGATAAATAGAGATGGATGGATGGATAGATAGATGATAGATAGATAGATAGATAGATAGATAGATAGATAGATAGATAGATAGATAGATAGAGATGGATGGATGGATGGATATAGAGATAGATAGATAGATATAGAAATGGATGGATGGATAGATAGATATAGATATAGAGATAGATAGATATAGAAATGGATGGATAGATAGATAGATAGAGATGGATGGATGGATGGATGATAGATAAATAGATAGAGATGGATGGATAGATAGATGATAGAGAGAGAGAGAGAGAGAGAGAAATGGATGGATGGATGGACAGATATTTTTATTTGCCACATTGGGATCTCTTTCCTCCCTGTTCCCACAATAGGTTGGAACGTCTCCAGAAGGAGGAATTACTGGAGAAGGCCCGCAAGGTGCAAAGTAACCAACACTGGGTAGCCTTTCAGGAGGAATTCCTCAAGAAGAAGGAGCAGGAGGTGCTTCAGCTACAGGTAAGGCAGCCCCAAGGCTCCAGTCACTCACCTTCCCGGGAACGTTGCACCTGCTCTCTATTGTGTACATTGCACGTTCTTTTTCAAACCACACGCAACTCCCGGCGGTTTCACGGTCGCACCTTTGTACCATCCCCTTGGCGTTTTTTTCCTTGTCACCCCCCCCCCCCGCCGCCTTTCTCGAGTTCGTCCTTTCCCTCCACTTCCCAAACTAACCTATAATTGTGAGGTTCTCCTTTATTGGCGATGCAGGGATTTCCTCGTGGTCTCCCATCCCTATTGCAAAGCCGTTCCGACCCTGTGTAGCTCTTCAAGATCCGCAAGAGATGGCCTGCGGTGTTCAGTTCGGTTGACCCACATCTAATCAAGGGTGGGATTTTACTGGTTCGGACCAGTTTGGGCTCTAAAGTTCAGCTGGGAGCCAACCAGGTCGCTGCGACGAGCGTATGGGCCCCCCGTCCGTTTCTACTCTTCCCCGTGCTTCATTTATTCCCCTTTTGAAAGAGGTTATATTTACGTGAACTCATAAAAGGTTTTGTATCCGTGTTTTATAGTCGACACACAGCTGATTCGCGGGGCACCTCAGCTGTTTTATTCACGGGACTGCAGTAGAAGGTTTAAGTATTAGGGCGTTTTCAAGCGGTGGTTCTCCCGGTGGAATCCCACCCCTGCACAAAAATGGGGAGATTTCAAGGGGGGGGGGGCTGCAGTGTGACTTAATCTGAGTTTGTTAGCCGCCATTTTGCACGTGAGGGCTTCCAATTAGAGGGTTCAATTGCTTTTACAAATTTGTGTATTGGATTTGTATTTTATTTTCATTTTTTTTTTTGTAAGCTGCTCAGGGATCAAAGGACAGCTGCAATTCTGTAGCTAAATCAATTTTGTCAGGCCCTCTCTCAATTTCTCACAATGCCGAGCATAATCTTAACAATGCAATCTGATTGTCAACTAAAAAGATACTCCGTTGGTCTTTTTAGTTGACAGAAAAAGGGAGTTGGCGGGGTGGAAACAGTGCATTCCTTAAGTGCCTAAATCAGGCTTGTCCAACCCGCGGGCCGCATGCGGCCCAGGTCGGCTCGTAATGCGGCCCAGTGCCCACCCCAACCTTCGTGCAAGAGGGCAAGCCAGCGAGGAGGAGGAGGAGGAGAGGCAGGCGCGAGGCGGGGCGAGCGCCACGCCAAGCAGCAACAGGAAAGGCGGCCGCCGTCAGAGCCAAAATATCTGATGAGCACCTTGAGCACTCACTGAGAATTGCAACAAGTGCCATCGAAGCAAATATGGATGCATTGGTGGCTGAGAAACAATGTCAAACATCTCACCAACTTCATTTCCAAATAAATTTAATATCTTAACTATGTTTTTCTATGGGTTTCTTTGGATGACCAGGTATCGTTACTGTTATTTTATTTTATGTGCGGCCCAAACCAAATTTTCATCTTCTAATGTGGCCCAGGGAAGGTGAAAGGTTGGACAAGCCTGGGCCCTAAATAATCACCCCGGGAGCCCAAAGTTGTCGGCGTGCAGGATTATTACTGGAGAGCCTGATTGATGACTCTGGGCTATGGATGTGTCCCATTGGAGAATATACATCCAGCGGGGTGGAGAGGGAAGACCAGGGTCAAGGGGGAAATGAACGAGGTATTTTAGTATCAGCTGCATCCAGCTAACACCAACAGGGCCGCTTCTAATCCATATTTTATTATTTCTGAGAGATGCGGCTAGAGACTTACGATTTGAATGGGGGGGGGTGGACTTGCTGGGAATCCTGACGCTGGTGTCCTTTAGCTTCGCTCTCATTCTTGTTTCCTCCAGGAAGAATCCCAGCATTTCATCACTCTTGAAAACCTGGACCAGCGGATTGAGGAGTGCCTGAACCAGACGCAGAATTACAATTTTGCCATTGATAAAGACGGGAGGATAGTTAAGAGGACGGCCATGCCGTAGCCAGAGGGAGGAGCGTTCTCCGCCCAGATCCGAGGTTGGCGGTGAGCGATCGAGGGATCGCGCACGGCTCCACCCCGCCAGTATCACCACCCTCAAAAGGGCCGGGGGGAAGAGGAACGGTGGATAATTTGTGCTTTCCAAACTCTGCCAGTCTGGTTTTGTCATTGGCTCCAGCTGTTTTTCAGGAAGAAATGGATCCTTTTCAAAGATTATGTGTGTGTGTGGGGGAGGGGTGTTATTTTGGCTTCTCATCCTGAGTTGTCCCTGCGTTGAAGAACTCGATTTTTGAGAGGGGGATCCTGTTTCCATATGTGTGCAAAACCAGTTTGTTCCTTTCTTCACAGTTTGGTTTCTTTAGACAAAGGAAACAGTGCTTAGGGAAGCTTATTCACTTAAGTTCTCTGGATTGCTCTATCATTAAATATACCATATTTTATTTCCTGGCTCCGAGCTGTTTATTTGACTTTTTTTTCCCTCTCCCTGCCCAACATTGTCCGAGTTCTTGGATGGTTAATTCCTAAGCCTGCCTACCCATCAAACATTCCTGTGCCTGTTTTAATAGTTGGGGGGAGGGAAGGAAATCTGGAAGATCCGTGCAGCAGTTTGGAAGTGGAGGTCCATTCCAACTCTTATCTTTAAAAGATTGTAACTTTCAAGAAGAGATTGCCTCCTGTCTGTCAGAAATGGTGTAGGGTCTCCTGCTTGGGTGGGGGGTTGGATTAGATGACCTCCAAGGTCCCTTCCAACTTTATCTGCTGTTAAAATATCTGCTTGCCCTTGTGTGACAGCACCCAGAAGGCAATGCATGCTCCCCCCACGCCCGCTACACATGCGCGTGCAGTCCTACCCTCCACCACCCCCTTACCTGCACTGCACCTCACAGCTGATTTTTGGCCCGTTTGAGGCATTTTTCGGCCTCCCAAAGGCTTGAGGAAGGCTTCTGCAGGCTTCTGAGAGCTTTGCAGGCTGAAAACTAGCCCTGTTTCATCACTTCCTGTTTTTCCGAAAATACCGGAAGTGACGAAACAGGGCTAGTTTTCAGCCTGCAAAACTTGCAGAAGCCTGCAGGAGCCTTCCTCGAGCCTTTGGGAGGCCGAAAAGGGCCTCAAACCAGCCGAAAATCAGCTGTGAGGCGCGCACATACCCAGTGAGGTAAGTTTGCCTGCAGCTTGCGTGCCGGCACAAATGGCTCTGCGTGCCACCTGTGGCACACGTGCCATAGGTTCACCATCATGGATATAGGGAATCTAATGTCGGCTTTATGGTTCAGAAGATCTCAGGATGTTACATCAAGAAGATGTCAGAGGAGAAAAAAAGCTGTTCAGGAGCGAATCATTTCCAAAAGCACACAGACTATTATTTGTTTGTTTGTTTATTTATATTTCATTTATATATTTATAGTTTATGTTCCTAGGTCGCCCATCTTCCTCAAGAAAGGGGTTCTTTTTTTTTTTTTTCATTTCTTTTTCTGAAGTTGTCCAGTCAGGATCCCAGCCTGATAAAATTGAAAATAGGGGTCTTGTGATCAACAGAACTTATTGTATTGCTGTATTTTTAACTTTAAAAGAAGAATACAAACATACATACATACATACATACATACATACACACATACATACATTTCTCAAATAAAAGCAAATCACAGTACATGGACTGAACAATGTAAATTATACACCTATCTTGACATCCTTTGGATTAACTGGAATAGCCTCAGGAAGAACCCAAAGTAGCAATACAAAAATAACATCTCCTGAACTGGCATATTCATATACAGATAGTCCACAGAAGTTTTACCTCTTTAAGAGGTGTTTATATAAGGCAGCCATTAGTAGGCATATTTTTCTCTCTCCTTGTGTCCAGTATCCAATGCAGAGTTCTCCGTGTAGAGTTAAGAAGATAGATTGCTTGTCAGGTATTTACCTACCACATACAGTGTATTTCTGCCTACGTCTTGAATATAAGCCACTGTTAAATGTCTGAAGTCTCTGTGTGCTGTGTTTTGATCCTGGGTTTTCTCATAATAGCAGTCACACTGCAAACGCTCCGACACCGTCTTGATGCCTTCCTCCTTGGACAACCCATTTCCTCAAATAATGTCAGAATGCGAAGAGGGCGTTCATCTCCTTGAAGGCCACCCTACGACCCATCTTAACTTATCACACAAAGAGGTGCCGAGAAGCTCTCCTGCAATGGACCTTTACATCAAGTGGCACCATCATCTCCAGAAGAAGCAGACTAAGAATCTGAGGGTTTGTCCAAAGGCGCTTTTCCCAAAAATCAAGTGGATTTATTTAGATTTTCCCCCCCTCCCCTTGGAAAAAACGTTACACTTTTCATCCAAGAAGCTTCTTTAGAACTTGGATGTGAAGCGAAAGGTTTTTCAAGGAAAAGGAAGTTCAGCTGCTTTTTGGAAAAACATCTTTGGGGAGAACTACGACCTGGGAGATTTGTCAGTATATAAGAAACCAGCTGGATCCCTGTGCTTCGCTACGAAACCATGTGGTTGGACTTAGTTTTGGGGGAGGAAAATAAGGGGATAAAAATTGCTGCCTCTGCTTACCAGCATCCATCAGTATTCATCTGGCTAGCGTCCTGTCAGTGGGTGAGAGAGTTGAGGGCTGTTTGGAAACTGAAACAGTTTTTGCTGAGTGAGCAAGAAGGAGACAGCAAGGAGCCTGGGCGTGGCTTAGCTCAACTGTTCTGTCCTAAAGCTGCTTGGTGCTCTGAAACTGAAACTCCTCTCCTCTGCTTGTGTTTGGAAGAGATTTCTTTCCAGGTGGGGAAGGGAAGTAGGACTCCTTAGCATCAGAGCGTGTTAATAATAAAAATATAGGAAATACTAAATGCTCTGATGGTCATTTCGAAGAATCCTTTCTTAGTGAGCACCTAGAAACCGAGAGGAACATAGGTGCCCAATTTCAAATTTTGTGGGCTTGACAGTTCTGGAGATTTTGTGATGATGCGTGAGGGGTATTTTGCTTTTATAGATATAGATAGATAAAGAAGTTTCTTCTGTAAATGAATCCTGCTGAATTATTTACTTGTGTGCTGGTTGGATTGCTGCAAACTCTTCACATGATCAAGGTTCTCCATAGACAAAACCCAACTCCTTACCAGTAAGTGTTTCACCACATTATCACTAGCAGCCTTCGTGTACGGGCAGCCTTGTCCATCGCAAAGTTTGGTCTCTTCAGAGTCCTGGAAACGAGACGCGGGAAGAGAAAATTACACAGTAGATTTAGGCCTGTCTTCCCTGTGCTGACAACTCCCCAAAGAATTGATCCACAGCTTCCATCCTCTTTGACTAGCTGGCTACCTGAGGATAAGAACACCTGTTTAAACACATCTGGAATGAACAATGTGGACAGCAGACCGTACCTCAAGGTTTCCAGGGAGCGCAATTTCTCGCTTCCCTCCAGGATACCAGCCGTAGGACCAGTGCTGAGATCTTGTCAGTTGCACACCAATAGCAAAAACGATGCAGAAGAAGACCAAGAGGGATCTTCCGTACACCATAATGTGATCTTCAACCCCGCTATCTCTGTGGAATCTGGATGGGTGGGGAAGAATGGAAATTTGGAAATATTTCTTGGCAGGGTTACCGTCAGCATTCAAAGTCTCAACCCTGTCATATTAAGAGAAACCCATGCCAACTCGTAAAGCATCCCTATGCCTGTTTTCGAGTTGCCGTAAACAAGGGGGTGGGGGGAAGAGATCCGAAGGAGTAGTGCGGCAGTTTAAAATCAGAAGTACATTCCAACTCTTAACTTACAAAGATTGTAGCTAAGCTACCGGATCTTCTGTCCACGAAAATCCTGAATTGGAGAATGTGATTGACAGCACCCAGCCTGTGAAGGTGCTTCATTAGAGAATCTGATTGATGACACACCCAGGGAGGAGGGGGGGAAACAGGGTCACAGAGCAAATTACATATGCCAGAGTTGGCTTCATACGGGTCCATGCTGACATGTGACTCCTAATAAATCTTCTGGTTGCTTTTGAAGCTTGGCTCGAGGCTCATGATTCAATTAGGGCAATCACCGGAACCCTGACAACGCAATGATGGAGATAGCGGCCAAGTTTTTCTTCTGTCCCTCAAGATGTTCTCCTCCCCGTGGCAGCATTTTTTAAAAATAAAGTTTTATTGGTTTTCTACTATTACATTTAATTAGTGCTTAATAAACATCGTGTTGTCTGGGCTATTTTTTGTTTAACAATACAAATTATATTCCTAAGCCTTATCCCTTTTTTTTCCAGCCATTTGTAAAATAAATTCCATGTTTGGCAGTATTCAGTATCTTCTTTCTGTTTAATCTTCAGTGTGAGTCTGTCCGTTTCTGCACAGTCCAATATCTTCTTCATTATCTCTTCATCCGGTGGTATTTCTTCATTTTTCCAATGCTGAGCAAATACAAGGCAGCAACGTGGACTGAGGCTCCTGGGTGCTTTCTGATTGTTAATGTTCCCTAGTTTGGGTAATAAAATGTCTGCAAGAAAACCACCCAGCTCAGAGAGCACCAAAGACCCCACAGGCCTCCTCCTCCTCCTCCTCCTCCAACCCCACCCCCTTGCAGCATTGATGATGTGACCTAGTTGGGTAATGCAATGTCTGCAAGAAAACAATCCAGCTCAGAGCACCAAGGAGCCCTCATTTCAACCCTGAACTAAAAATATTCTCTTCTATTGGTAGCAATCTATATAGCTGGCCCCACAACCATCTTTCTTTCTTTTTTTTCTTTCTTTCTTTTCTTTCTTCTTCCTTCCTTCCCCCTCTCTTTCTTTCTTTCTTTCTTTTCTTTTCTTTTCTTTTCTTTTTCTTTCTTTTTTCTTCCTTCCTTCCCCCTCTTTCTTTTCCCTTTCTTTCTTTCTTTCTTTCTTTCTTTCTTTCTTTCCTTCCTTCCTTCCTTCCTTTTTTCTTTCTTTCTCTTTCTTTCTTCTTCCTTCCTTCCCCCTCTTTCTCTCCCTTCCTTAGTTCTTCTTTTTCTTTCTTTTTTCTTT